GAAGGAAGTCCCTGAATGCTGGAGGTAATTATTTTAAAGTAGCTAAATAGATGGTAAATTGGGGAGAGAAATGCCCAAGAACTTTTCTTACATAAATTTTAGGGTTGGAAACATCTGTTTCTTGTAATTTTGCCTGAAATCCATTTGCAGTTTTATTGCAAAATGTCCCTATGTTGAGTCAATGTCCTCATGTCAGGATGTTTTTGTGATTTTTTAATGGTAAAATAAGTGTCCCTAGGTTGAATCGTCCGCAGGTCAAGGTGTCCGCATGTGAGGGTCTCACTGTATATATATGTATAGATGTGCTGCGCAAATACGAGGACTCGGGTTTTAATTTGAAATGTATATAACTTTCTGCTTCTCCTTCATTTTCTTCCTCAAACTCTCTCACACTGATACCTTCCTGTATTTTCGACTATATTTTTTGTTTTTTGGTTTTTTTTGTCTACACCTTCTCTTCCACCTACCTGATTTCTTCTTTTGCTGCGGTGATTTTTTCTTCTCGGCGTTTTTTTTCGTTTTGTTTTGTTTTTGTTGGAGTAATCAGCAGATGTCCCATCGGAACAAGCAGGCGCAGCAGGAGAGAAACAAGGAGAAAGGGATGGAGTCGGTGCCACTCAACTGTGCCAAGTGCGGAGCCACGCCGTGTCCACACGTGGTGTCCCCCACTGAAGACGCGGAGGACCAGAACGCCATGATGTCTCCAGAGAGACCACCGAGGTCCAGACAGTCGCTGCACTCGTCCGCAGGTGATTTTCGATGCATTTTATTATGATTGAACCCTTTTTCAGACTATAATTCCGAGAGGGTCCAGTGCAAAAAAAAATCAACTTGAGGAGGTTTTGAGTTGTGATTGTTTTTTTGTTTTTTTAAGTTCAAAATATTAAGTTTTGGCGCAAACAACTGTGTGTTGAGCACTCAACAGGATGCTGCACTTGAAGGCAAGGGTTTGTTAGAACAATGTTTTTCAATTCCTTTCAAAAAGATTGCATACACTGTGAACATGTTCTGCTTCCATGCTACAGAATTTCATTCAATGCTAGGATTAATAGTGAGGCGATTGTAGTGTGAACAGAACCTGCATGTGTGTTTATGCCGCGCACAAACAGAGGCCGCTCCTTGATTTTTAGGTAGTCAATTTCACTGTATACAGTATACAGCTGTACAGGGCAGTAAACTGCATAGCCCAAGTGGGGAGCTATTTTTGCAGTGACCCCACAGTAGGTGCACCCCAGGGTCACAACTGGTGCATATGGGATATTCTGGGGTTACAATAAGTGTGCACTTTTGTAGAGAAAATTTTGCTACCATTCCAGGGCTACACTTGGTGCACAAATGTGACGTAACAGCAGAGTATCACACAAATCCACCAACTGTAACCTTGGTGTAACTTATTTGTTTACAGATGTGACCCTGAGTAATTCAGGTGTGAACACACAATTGGTGCATATTGGGGATATGCATGTGCAACAGAAGAACTTTGGTACACTTCAGGTGCACAGCAGGGTCCCTGTGTAAAATTACAGACATATCCCCAGTGTGCACCAATTTCCCCACCAGGGTAGGGAATGCTTCAGGCACCAAAACCATCAATTTTTCCCCAGTTTTTGGGTCTGATATCAGATATGCATGCCCTTCTCTGAAAGAATATAACAAGAGAACTTCACTGAATCTCATACTGTATTTTTCTGATTTTTGTGATGGAGGGACAGGAGGAAGTCAATATGGAGGAAACAAGCGGCCAGATTCCACCAGCAGCGCGCAATTCAGGGTTGAAAGCGAGATGGGACACATAGCGACATCAGACGAAGAGGCTGTGCGGCCTACGAATCCTGCAATGATAGTTTCGGACATAGAGGACGCTGTCTCAGCCGCGGAGCAAGGCCGCGTTTCCGCGGAACAGTCGCAGGCGGTGACCAAAGCGCCACCTATTCATCCGATCCGCATTGCCAAGACCATTGACGTCATCTCCAGGGTCACCTTCCCGACAGCGTTCTCTTGCTTCCTCATCTTCTTCTTTGCCAGGTACGCCTGGTTCGCCTACATGTGGAACGAAAGATGAATGAGGACCCAGGAGGGAGCCTTCAAAAGAGAACATGAATGGACCAGTTGTTCCCGGAAGAAAAGGAAAAACGGGAGTGACTGCGTGTTCGAAGCTTTTGTACTGTACAGTATAGTTGGGTCCACTTCGATGAGCAGGAGCGACACCTGAAGACGATTGCTGGTTTTTTTCATCTTCGCGATCGTTCATTTAAGCAACGGCAATCATCTAAAGAGAAGGCAATTACGCGCGTATACGCCTTGTACTCTCCTCCCTTGTTTGCTTTCACCTGAATCATGGCAGAAGTGATTAAGGCACCTTTCAATCTTTCACGTCAGCGAGTAAGTCGAGAGGGGGGCAACGTTAGGCATGTTCGATGAATCTCCTTTCTGAGAATTGATTATATTACTCATGATCGCGGGGGGAACATCAGTGGTTGAATTGTTTTGGCTACATTATCATACTACAGTATATGTGGTGGTTTGACGGAAACATTCAGAAGAAAATTCGGCACTTGTACACGAAGAGGTGACCCACCGAAAAATCCATGCGCGCCGCCATGACTTTTGACACTCTCGCCATCTATGAACAGAACATTGAACAATGAATCTCTCCAGCAACACTGGCCAGACTCACATATACAGTTCTGTACTCCTCTGCGCTATGACACAAGTTCACAATCACCATGAAACTTCAGGCCTCCTGCTGGTATATAAACCTAATCTCCCTGCTATAGTAGAAACCTAATACCCCTTCTTGTAGAAACTTCAAATATCCCTTATCTCGTAGGAACTTCAGATACCTTCTTGTAGAAACTTCAAATACCCCTTCTTGTAGAAACTTCAAATATCCCTTCTTGTAGAAACTTCTAGTCTCTCTTATAGTGGAAACTTCACATATCTCATCTAGTAGTCTCTCTTGGTAACTTCTGGCCAGCTATGCATAGAACATTCCTCTGCATTATGACACAAGTTCACAATCACAACAAATTCCTTGGCATTCTGCTGAAACTGACTTTGGAGGCAGTTAGGTAAAGTTAGGTTAGGTTAGTTTATGATGGTTAAAAATATCTTTTAACTATCATAAACTAACCTAACCTAACTTTACCTAACCGCCTCCAAAGTCAGTTTCAGCAGAATCCCACAGAAAAGATAAACTGACTTTGGGGGGCGGTTAGGTAAAGTTAGGTTAGGTTAGTTTATGTTGGTTAAAAACATCTTTTAACTATCATNAAGGGATGGAGTCGGTGCCACTCAACTGTGCCAAGTGCGGAGCCACGCCGTGTCCACACGTGGTGTCCCCCACTGAAGACGCGGAGGACCAGAACGCCATGATGTCTCCAGAGAGACCACCGAGGTCCAGACAGTCGCTGCACTCGTCCGCAGGTGATTTTCGATGCATTTTATTATGATTGAACCCTCTTTCAGACTATAATTCCGAGAGGGTCCAGTGCAAAAAAAAATCAACTTGAGGAGGTTTTGAGTTGTGATTGTTTTTTTTTAAAGTTCAAAATAGTAATTTTTGGCTCAAAACAACTGTGTGTTGAGCACTCAACAGGATGCTGCACTTGAAGGCAAGGGTTTGTTAGAACAATGTTTTTCAATTCCTTTCAAAAAGATTGCATACACTGTAAACATGTTCTGCTTCCATGCTACAGAATTTCATTCAATGCTATAAGATTAATAGTGAGGCAATTGTAGTGTGAACAGAACCTGTGTGTGTGTTTATGCCTTGCACAAACAGAGGCCGCTCCTTGATTTTTAGGTAGTCAATTTCAAGAATACTGTATATACAGCTGTACAGTTCAATATACTGCATAGCCCACGTGGGGAGCTATTTTTGCAGTGACCCCACAGTATAGGTGCACCCCAGGGTCACAACTGGTGCATATGGGATATTCTGGGGTTACAAGTGTGCACTCCTGTGGAGGAAATTTTGCTACCATTCCAGGGCTACACTTGGTGCACAAATGTGACATAACAGCGGAGTATCACACAAATCCACCAACAGTAACCTTGGTGTAACTTATTTGTTTACAGATGTGACCCTGAGTAATTCAGGTGTGAACACACAATTGGTGCACATTGGGGATATGCATGTGCAACAGAAGAACTTTGGTACACTTCAGGTGCACAGCAGGGTCCCTGTGTAAAATTACAAACATATCCCCAGTGTGCACCAATTTCCCCACCAGGGTAGGGAATGCATCAGGCACCAAAACCATCAATTTTTCCCCAGTTTTTGGGTCTTATATCAGATATGCATGGCCTACTCTGAAAGAACATAACAAGAGAACTTCACTGAACCTCATACTGTATTTTTTCTGATTTTTGTGATGGAGTGACAGGAGGAAGTCAATATGGCGGAAACAAGCGGCCAGATTCCACCAGCAGCGCGCAATTCAGGGTCGAAAGCGAGATGGGACACATAGCGACATCAGACGAAGAGGCTGTGCGGCCTACGAATCCTGCAACGATAGTTTCGGACATAGAGGACGCTGTCTCAGCCGCGGAGCAAGGCCTCGTTTCCGCGGAACAGTCGCAGGCGGTGACCAAAGCGCCACCTATTCATCCCATCCGCATTGCCAAGACCATTGACGTCATCTCCAGGGTCACCTTCCCGACAGCAAAGAGAACGAAGGAGTAGAAGAAGAAACGGTCCATGCGGACCAAGCGGATGTACACCTTGCTTTCTACTTACTCCTGGGTCCTCCCTCGGAAGTTTTCTCTTGTACTTACCTGGTCAACAAGGGCCTAGAAAAGGAAAAACGGGAGTGACTGCGTGTTCGAAGCTTTTGTACTGTACAGTATAGTTGGGTCCACTTCGATGAGCAGGAGCGACACCTGAAGACGATTGCTGGTTTTTTTCATCTTCGCGATCGTTCATTTAAGCAACGGCAATCATCTAAAGAGAAGGCAATTACGCGCGTATACGCCTTAATGATGGTTTCGCCGCTTGACTGGAATCATATCTGTTCTGACGAATGTGGTTTACGGCTAATCTTATAAAATATTGATAAAGTGATCAACCGTATCATTATGTTTTTGATGATGGACATTCATCGCGGGAAATCAGATTTCATCGCGAATATTCTTGTGCCGCTCTGGCTTCTTCATCCAGATAGTTGATTGAACTTTATCCATGCGAAGATTGAGTTGAACTGGGTTTGTGTACGGTGTATATATAGTTCTGGACCAATTCTAAAGAATAATTTATAGGGTGAGTGTTCATTCGTCACTTATTCGCTTCGGAGGGCGGTAAACGAGCTGATTTTGGATAAACGATAATATGAATCACCGTTTTACTGTACTACGATAAGATTTTTAGCTGATCATAGAATTTGACGAGAAACTGCATCAGGAAAAAGATCGAGGTTCATCTAAATTTTCACGCAGTAATTTGCAGTAATTCGCGCTACGGTATTTGATGAAGTTCACGTACTCGATCACAAGTTCATACTGAAGGTTGACATAAATTCGCATTTGACCTCGACATTGGTTCGTTGAAAAGGATGTTCACCAAGGGATTCGATCGCAGCGGAAACCTTACCTGACAACCAATCTTATTCTAGTCGACGAGCGTTTCATGCGAAACGGGGGCCTTTTGAATCTCGGTGTTCAGTGCTCAAGAAAAAGTTCCGTTTCGCTATCTGCGGCGTATTGGGGTCTGGAAAATAGAAGTCGTCGGAGAAATGGATTATTTGACGCGGAGTTATCAATGGTTACCTGAAAGTGTTTCGAGCGTTTTTTGTTCCGTTTTTCTGCGTGTGTGAGTGAAGTGAGACGACGTTTTCGGTTGCATTTTTCCGGGGATATTTAGCGAACACGTTGAACACATTTTCTTTTCATTTTTGACATATAAATGTCGTTCGGGCCTGCGGATTCTCGGTACCGTTTTATATAGAACTGCTGGTTCATGAAAAGCATCGGCCAAAACTTTTGTGGTTCTTTGAGAGACACGCTTTCTGCAACAACAAAAAGTATGTATAGGCATTGTTTTAGAAAAAAATACCCATGGGTTCTTTTCTTCAATTTTTCTTTTATTTTTTCTGGGTCACTTTGAGGGGATGCTCTGTGATGCGACTTTCGATCCTTCGAAAACAATTTTCTAGATTTCAAACAAAACGGTTAATCCCTTTCAGATGAAAGAAAGAGAGGAAGAGAGAGAAAGTTTGATCAAGTATGGTTACCCGGAGTTTTTCTTTTTTCAAAAATGGAGAAAAAAACCTCGCGCAAAAATCCCGCGCGATTGTTGGCGAAGGAAAAGGACACAGAACATTCAAGCTGTTTTCAATCTTCTCTTTAAATCGTATACCACGTGGCTTTCAAGCAATTTTTGCCAGTTGCGGATTTCACCGGGGCTTTTTAGTGGAAACATATGGAATGCAAAGAATTCAAAAAAAGAAAAATCCCCGTTTTTTGGCATTGCCTTTTTTCTCATTTCGGGAAGTTGGGTCAAGGGTTACCCTTTTTTGTTGTTGACCGGGGTGGGATTTTATTCTTAGACACGAACTTCTCTTCTCGTTTTTGCGAGAGACGAATTCGGGAAGGACGGAATAAAATGTTGCGGAACTTTCTGGCCTCAAATCAGCAAGTTTTTCTTCTAATATAATTTTTTTATGACCGGTACTGTATATTTAATTTTTTACACAGATCCGAAGGAAAAGTTTTCCGTCATGGAACTCAGCCACCCCCATTCAGATGCTTCTCATTCTTTTCGCAAAGCCTTTTCAGTAAGTACTGTGTAAACTTGCAAGGGAAAGAGTCGTAGTCCCACAAGAGATAGCTCATCCGTAGCCAGAAAGGGAGAGAAGCAATCTTCTTGATGGGATGGTGTTCACTGAGAGCATACAGATGGGATATCTGGATGCTGGCTGATCAAAATCAAAAGCAAACCCACTGCGATATGAGTGATTTATTCCAGGTTACTTGTGCCACAAGATGGCCAGTTTTAAAAACGTCAAATTGAAACGGAGTCCCTCGTTTTGTAGATAGTCCCAGCAAATAATCAGGCGTTTTCTAGGCAAGCATAACAAGTAGGCTTATATTGCACCACCCATAGGTAATGCCTGGTTGGCTGGGTACATGTGAATTTTTTTTATGGGTGATTCAAAGCCTGCAGTACCCATAGGACACCCGTAAAGTACATGTGTGTGTACAGTATATGGGTGTTTTTCAGCAAGATTGAGAAGCAGGAAAATAATTTTCAAATGCATCAAATGGAAAAGGCACCAGAACCAGGAGTATTATATCACCTGCATGTAGCATACATGAAACATATCAGTGTGCATAGCATGTGTGGGTGTTTTTGAGCAAGTTCTCAAAGTGGAAGTTATTTTGATGTGTGCTAGGTAAATGCTGCAGTGTGGTCGACTTGAACGGTGTGGACTAAGAGAAACTGTGTGCAATGATGAGGGCCGATTTGCCACTTCGATAATGCTGAGCCATTTACTGCTACAGTGCTGCACCATTTACTATAAAGCGCAGTGCCATTTACTTTGATAACACTGCGCTAATCACAATAATTTCAAAATGCTACAGTGTTTACTGTGACCATGCCCCACTGTTTACTTTGATAATTCAATGCTGTTTAATTTTCTTAACACCACATTGCTTACTTTGAGAATAATGCCATTCCATTTCCATCCTGGGCTGCACTTAACAGAAAATTTAGGCATAATACCTTGTATTAAGGTATCATATATTGTAGATTTTTCAAGTATTCCTGATGTATAAATATTCTTCATTTGCTGAGAAGCCTAGATTTAAAAAATACTAAAAATAATAGTATTTCAGTGCACATCTGAAGCTACCGCCATGCCACACTGGATGGCTTGGCATTATGTTGTTCAGCCCAGCATTGTAATATTGTGTGATGTGGCACTGAACACATATAGGGCATGGCATTGTCATATTGTATGGCATGGTAGAGTGGCAGTGTCACCTCTGCATGGCCATGCCACCACCACTGTGCCACCTCCACACCACTGCCACGCCACCTCCACACCACTGCTGCGCCACCTCCACACCACTGCTGTGCCACCTCCACACCACTGCTGCGCCACCTCCATGCCACTGCTAAACCACTGCCATGCCACCTCCGCAAGACCACAACGCCACTGCCATGCCACTACTGCATCACTGCAGTGCCACAACCGCTCCACTGCCATGAGACCACCATGCCGCAAAAATTATTTTAATTTTAACTCAGTCAAAAATCAATATTGTTTCAACTTTAAAAATAATGAAGATAGCCAAATTTCAGTTGGCATCTGAAGGTGGTTTAAAAGTTGAAATTGCTTTCCCAGAAAAAAGTTACAATGAGATGAAGTTATAAATTGGTGAAGCATGCCAAGTCATTTTTGATAATTCTTCCAAGTATAGCTTTAGCTCCTCATAAGTTATTCTCATGTGGAGGCAAAGTCAATTAAAAAACAGCTTCATGTAAGCATTGAGGTTCTAAAATTTCTAGTATAGTTTAAGTTGAAAAATATTGGATAGTGACAGCTAAAAATAAAAAATCCGAACTTATTCGAAAAAATGTCATTTCCTAGGAACCAAATAAGGACATTCTGCCCTGTATATGCCAAGCTGTGCTGTCTTCAGACAGTGTGGCATGGTCCAAACTATACTATACCATCTGAAACCATGCTACACCATCTGTAGAAGCCCTGCTGCACCATTTATAAGTGGAGCAGCATTGTTATATAAATTTTGAAGCAGAGGCTGCTGGGTAATTTCTGTCAGGAAGATCATCACCTTATTGTTCCATTGTTGAGGTTTTATATTAACATGATCAAAATCCTCCCTAAACTTAATTGCTTTTTGTCCTCATATCTGAGGTCAAATGTTGTCCAAATCATGTATTATTGTTGGAGGTTTTTAATCTATTGTTTCTAAAAGGGATTCAGATGGGAACATCATGAAAAAAATTTGGCTTATGGGGTATTTGACTTAGGGAGGTTCAAGTTATCAAGGTTCACCCATACTTGCATGTATGAAACACACAGCAAGAGTGTATGCATCTTTGCTTTGAAAAAATGTCATTTTCTTTTATTGACTCTTGCTTCATAATTTCAATATTGCCAAATTAATCAAGTTTTTGATTTGAATGTTTTTCACATATTAAATCAATGCAACCCAATAATCTGGTTTTGTGCCTTGCAAGCTATGGTGTTCATTATTTATGGCTTGTATATACATATTCAAATAATCAAACTTGATTGTGAAACAGTCATTATGTTTACTGTGCATTCATAATCAAATAATCAAGCTCATGAGCTTGATTATGAAACATTCATTATGCATATACAAGACACATCAAATAATGAACACCATAGCATGCAAGGTATATAAAAGTTGTTGATTAATTGTGCTAAAAATTAAATTAAATTTGTATCATATTTATGAATGAAATGGGAATTCTGATTTATAATGTACAAGTGTTTTATATATAAACTTTATATACAGTACTGCATGGTATATGCATACAAGACAGTTGAAACATAAATTATCTGGAGTTATATCTCTCACTGTACACATAGTACACAGAGCAATACTTTATGCATATTTGCTTTGAAAAAAAAGCTATTTTATTTCGTCAACTCTTGCTTATGTCAATCTTGCAAATTGAAAATATTTTTGATTCGTCATGTATTAAAAGGAAACACACAACATTTAGAAAATTTTGAAAGACATGAAGAAAATGATATTTGAAAGAAAAGTAAATTTCAATTTTCAACTTCCTTGAACAATTTCAAGCACACTGTAAAATAAGTGGAAAGCTCTGGCCAAAATTAACTGGATCAACATAGCTTTCATCAAAACCTTCACCTCTTACGATAATTTCTCTGATATTACGCCTGCCCCAAGATTGAGTTTGGTTTTTCAACTATACATTGCAATTTGGATATCCACCGTAGTCAATCCTTAACATAAGTAAAACCTCACAGCAGGTTACACCCATTAAAATTTTGAAATCACAGTACGAAGATTCATCCCTATATTAATGCCATGTGACTCGTGCGGAAAAATCAGCTGCATCCTATCCTGACAAGAAACGAAGACCATCCTAACAATATCACAACGTGGAATTTTATCTTCCACATCAACATGCGTGCAACGATCAAACTTTTTCAAAAAAATACGCTCTGATCTGAGCTCGCAAAATTTATAAGAATACACACGCCTGTCCAAGTCCATGCACCTCTTCGCTCCGTTCAAATCTACCCAGGAGAACCTCGCTAACTTCTCCAATAAATCATCATCATCACACTGGACACGAAGGACATCCTGCTTGCATCAACCCACCACACTGAAAAAATGTCTACCCCGAAACCAAACGTGCAATGCAGAAAACAACAGCAGACACAACCAGGCTCCCGACACTTCACACGGCACAAGATTCTTTTGGCATTCAAATTGGCAGAGACTTAACCACTGCCGTGGAGAACAACTTTGTCATGAACTTCATGCCAGTCTCGCCACCGGGAATGTGATGCATGATGAACCACAACAACGCCATGACTTGAGCAAAGGCGAAAATCACCGTCAGAATGGTGCTTTGAATTGACAAGGCGGAGTACAGAGTGGCGATGAGTGTTCCGACGTAAGCTCCGGAAAACGGGAGCGTTTCTTTCTTGACCAGTGATGTAAGATGGTTCCACGGACCAATGAGAAACGAAAAGCTGCGAGAAATGTGCGAAACTTTGAAGAGAGACCAACTAAAAATATAACAACACCCACACTTCCGTATTCAATTATCGCGTTTTAGATTCCGATATTCAATCGGAAATTTGTAGATTCTTAAGCGCTTGATCATCAGACATGATAACTTACCAATTTAAAAACATTCAACCACTCAGAAAATAAACCAGTCATCTATTAAGATCATTTAACCATGGTCTCAAAAAATTACGCTCCAAAAAGCGCTTTTCTTTCTCTTTTGATCTTCGCCGCAGTCAATACACTCAGAAAAAAAAATTACAGTCATAGACTGATTTCCTGAATTTCACGAATGCGCAGATACTTGCTTGATTCAATATTTTTCCCTCGTTCAATACTTCAGGATGTTCTTCGGCAGACATACTATACTGCATATTCATTTCGAAATTCATTCAATATTTCAATGGTTCAATCGAAGAGAGAAATCGCAAAAAAGCATACAGAACACATCAAACAATTCATGTAGCTTCATAATACACCAATGAAAGACTTTTTGATTCTCTGGAATGGATCGGATGTTCAAAAATATACGCCTTTAATCACTCAATTAATCGAATGAAATGGAAAACGCACTAAAACGGATCAAGTTCATTAACAAAAAAAACTGAGTAATGAACTGTACCAAAAAGCACCCCTGCTGATAAACTCTGGATATTATCCCGAAAAAACTAAAAAAATTACATTGAAACTTTTCGAAGGTGAATTCAAAAACAATTGAGTCAAAAAATGAAGAGTATAACGCATAATTGTCTCTTTTGTCGTTCACGTATTACTGATATAAATAATCATCAGTGGGACGGTAAAGAGGCGCATGAATGATCGGAACGGGACTATTTGAAAATACCTCGAAGTGCATCGATTCTCAACAAAAACACAAGGAAAATTTAGAAATTAGAAATCACCGACTGTGCGTCCCACCAAAAAAAAGAAGCACCCTTGGGTAGGTTTTCGGTTGAATATTCACGCAATCGTTGGTTCCATTAAAACTCGACTAACTCTCATAATACTCCAATTCTTCACAACCACTTTTACACAAGAAAGGAAGAAATCACCAACCTGCCCATGATGAAAAGGCTGCCGAAGGTGAAAAGTACCGAGAACTTTCTCGCTTTGAGCAGAAGCACCGGCAAGTACAAAGAAGCAAGCACGAAGAACAGCATCCCAATGAACAAACACGCGAAAAATCCCATGAACCTCTGCACGCGAGTCTGTAGCGAAGACGCAACACAACTCACTCTCAAACGATCAACCACCAAAAACTTCAAGGTGACTCTTGTTCGAACTCACCAATGAAGGAAAACACGATTCACTATCCGATGAAGCTTCGTTCAGACTCAGATTGTCCACAAGAGGATCCTTGTCTCCATCCCCTGCACCAGAGGACTTGAAGACATTGAGGAATGATGAAAATGTACTCGTTTGCGCGGGTTTATTTCCAGAAGCCGCGTAGTTATCCCATTCATCGCGAATGGAAATTGTCGTGGCCATGGATCTTCACTTCAAAAAATTTCCGAATCGAATTTTGGCACCTAAAACGCAAAAAAGACATCCGCGTAACATCAAAAAATGTTTCAGATTTTTAACTCAAATACGTCAGAAGGCAGAAATAAACGCTTCAATATTCTCTTCTCAAAATAAATGAACTTGAGTCACTCCAGCGAGTCAAATTATACCGATTTTATTTACATCCCTAGGACAGTCCACCGCTCATACATCCGTCTTCACATTCTGCGGGCAACTAACCAGAAAAGGAATGACACATTTCGAGAAATCGGACCATGTTTCACGGAAATACCAGCAGTTCGCCGAGCAAATGCATCAAAAAAACATGCTGATCAACGTCAAGAAATCGTCGGTGGTTTCACGTTTAGCGAAGAAATACACCATTGCGTAGTTCCCTGATCATATTCGACAATACACGTGTCAAAACTTGGAGGAGGTGATAGACCCTGAAAGACTTGACATAAATCAAGTTGCATACCGAACGATAGGAAGTTGCACGTTTATAAACACAAGGGAACCTCATGCAATTGCCATCATCCGATGATCCCACCACAGCCATTCAGAACAAATATTGCATGAAATGAATGATGGCCTCGCTTTAATGCATCTTAAGAGCATATGTCACCTCAAAAACCAGACACGATGAGGAATTAGGATCAAAAAAGGTTGCTAGGCTGTTTGGAAATCCAGCTGAAGAAAAATGGGCATTGACCTCAAGTTTCAGCATCCAGGTTCTCCACCACAGAACTAGTTCTACCGAGAACACCATGAACCATGAAAACTTCAGCACCACAGCGTCAAACATGGGAGAGACAAACTGAACAGCGAAAATACAGAATTTCAAGATTTTTTTTTGCCTCTTTGATGGTGGAGTCCGACACGTAACATCAACTACTGTATTCCGAAAAAGGCACATCTAAATCCGTTGAATCTGAAAATTTACAAAAACTTCGTTACAACGCAAAAGCTTCTTCACGTCATATCAATCACAACAAAACGGCCACAATTCCATTCATATTCAAACATGCTTCGCACGATTGCAGCGAAATGATTCAAATGCACTCCATGTCGATCTGCTGACACCAGTATCCGCGAATATTAACATGGCATCTGGGCAAAACAATAATGCCAAAAGAATGGAAAAACCGTAACCCTAGACCAGCAGAAAATGAAATAAAAATCAGCAAGCATTGGTCTGAGAATGAATCGTAGATATCGTAGCACATGCGATGAGCGCCGTTGGGAAAGGAATGCACGTTGTGGTTCAGAAATCTCGAACACCGTGATCCATGGACGACTTGACCAAGCTGAATGCCATTCTGAAGACAAGGAAAATCAGGCATGAATGCAGAGAAGAATGATATACTGTAGTATAATTAATAGCCATCTCACTCTTTCATGATGTGACCAAAGAGTAAGGAGGGCATGACTGTCACAGTGACAACATTTCCGGCATCTTGGATGAGTTTTGTGATTTCCTTGTCCTTCAGGCCTACAACATTTTGTCCATCAATTTCCAAAAGATGATGATCCGTAAGAAGTCCGTTACGGGCTGCAGATGATTCTTTCACAATCGAAATAATCTGCCCTTCCTTGAACTGGAATCCAACAAACCCATCGCTGCTTTTGTGCAACGTGACAGTCCTTTCGAATGGTCTGAAAGAAAAAAAAATGTCTGTAACAAACCAAAAGTTCACGGGAATAAAATGTTTCATCACAATTTTGTTCATGGACTCATTCTTCAACTATCGAAACAAAACCGAATCAACAGCAGGATTTCAGGAGAAACAATTTCGTTTCTGTTATGAATTACCAATTTCACACTTTTTTCAATCATCTTTCATGCATGACCACATCAACAGCGAAAAACATGAGCACTAATATAACCCAACTTGACCTGTATTCATGAAACTTCGATTTGCATTGACGCATTTGTACGGAGTAGACGGCTTCAAAATAGAAGAACTTAAGACTTCAAAGTTCAGGCACATCAATTGCCACAAAAAAAGCCACCACTTTCGAAATCGACAATTTTCCGAGTTCGGAAGGTCATAGAATGATTAATTGATCAGGTAGGTTTTTCGACTTCAAATGACAAGAATCTTTGACGCTTTGAGGAAAAAACTCTCATGGGTTCACAGAATCAAGTTGTGATTCAATTTTTGCGAATCACACATCTCCCGGATTACAGCCATGGAAATTACGTCTCAGCCGTATGTTTTCCAGAAAAAAAAAAGAAAAGAAACGAGAAACATTTCGTACAGAATGAGTTGAGAATCGCGTACCTATCTCGAATGACAATCCGGATTCCGTTCACTCCGCAGTTGTTGAAAATTTTGTGAGTTTTTTCCATGGAGTATCCAGCAACGGTTTCTCCATCGATCTGCAAAATCTGATCGCCAAAACGGATCCCGGCAAGAGCAGCAGGTGAATTCTTCGTCACGAGTTGCACGAATACACCGCAACTAACAGCCTTAGCTCTCAAGCCAATTTTCCCAGTCGCGTCCTTGCAGAGGATCACCTGGAGTCCGATACACAAAATGCAATCATATTTCAAATATTTCATAGGAGAAATGACTTTCTATCACCTCACGGATTCCATGTGTAACTTGAGCACGCTTCAATCCCACAGATGTTCCCGACAATGGAGCAACGAACCGGTTCAAAGCAGATGAATTGTGGGCATTATTCAATGCGACGTGTTCCGGTGCCTGACAAGACAAATGATTCGTTAGAATTTTAAAAACGAACTTTACTGTGCGCGACACGAGACTGGTTCAGTTGAGATACCCCAGTTCCGGTTGGGTCACCAACATAGGTAACTCAACAATATCAAATTGAGCTAGCTCAACGATTAAATGAACCTATCCGGGAACTTGATTTAATCCAACAAAGCTTAATTCATCAAAACTCAGTCAACAACTGAGTAGCCAAAAATTCGATTGAATCAACATAACGTTGATGATGTGCCCAATTTTATAAGGGATAAAATTGGAAAATCATCGAGGAAGGAAGTGGATCTCATCAACCAGACTTGCATACAAAATCCTAAGACACATACCCTCACGGCTGCAACGCGTGAGTCCACATGATTAGCGGCTTCTCTGAGAGCTCTCAAATCGAAACCCATGTAGTCATCTTCCAAATTAGGGTAGAGCGCAGTTGCGCTGTGGACGTAAGATGAATCTAGGGCTGGAGCGGAAGCTGCTGAATGGATCGGGCTCACCGGATAGGGAGCACTCGGCTGCGGAGCAAAATCTGCCCGGTTCTGAGCCTAAATCAAACGAACAAAATGAGCACATAAGCGGCATGCTTCGAATATTGAACTCACGGTGACCATCTGATGGGCATTCAAATCCTCCAAGGTTGGATATAGAGGCATCTTCGGGACACGTATAGCACAGTAAGAACCACAATCTAGACCTCTTCGATGAAAATAAGGTATCAGTCAGTATCGGGGCGAATACGATCGACCAATCGATAAAAATTAGGAGCAATCTTCGACCCGAGAAAGCCCTGCTGGCAGGAATCAATGGTCAACAGAAGATACGGAAGAATGCACGTTCAATCAGTAGACTTTCGCGACATAGAAAGTAATTATGAGAAGGTTCACAAAATTGATCCGATTCCGAACTACGACATGCCCGACAGAATATCTGCAACTGTAACGCAAGGATGATAGCTCTACACATACTGTACATCATTTTCCTGAATTAGTCACCCATCACGGGACTTCCTGGACGCAGCGTAAATCGCTTTTACGTCACAAGTATGCGCACAGTATCACAGTATGAGCCCAGGTTGGAGCTCAGTGACTTCTGCTGACCATGGAACATGATGAAAAGTACAACATTCGACGGATAGAGAGCAGCAGAGATAAAACATGGCGGCGCCCCTAATGACGCTAGGTTTTAGGGTGGGATTTCCACGGGGGATCATTCCTTGGGAAGCCTTACCGCAAACATTTATGTAGTGGTTCCAATTCAGGGGAACGTAAATCCCGCTGTTATTTATAAAGCATGCGTTTATGCTTCGGCGGAAAACATGCATTAAATTCCGTTAGTATGTTTTTTTTTACAAGATGATGGCACAAAACGTGTGAACAGTGCGGTGGCAGAGATGAATGAATGAATGCATCTTAAAAGGTACCATCACGAATATTCATTGATTATAAATTCATTAAAGAGATCGCGTTTACGTGCTGGTGGCTTCCTTTTTGCGGTAATGATGACTAGTCACTCAAAAAAAGTATACATCTGAAAAGTACCCATCATGTGCCATATTGAGGGAAATTTTGTATCTATAATGTGATTCAATCTAATTAACAGCAGTAAATAATGCCTAGAATTACCCATACTTATACTGTATATGCATCCGTATAACATTTATATTATTGTATATAGGAGCCTGCATTTTTCCGCCCAATTGTCAGATGATTTGTATTGGTTTATTTGTCTGTTCAAAGGATGATCACGATCATAAAAATTCTGATAACCCAGGCCTTTCTCGAAATGTATCATGATTCATGATGGCACGTCATGCAGCAGACGACGTGTTATCATAGAAGAATCTTTGGGGAATGTATTGCTTGCATGTGCTGCACACCCATGAGAGCTTGCTTGAAAGAGTCTTGCTAATATTTGTGAAATTGAACGCCAGTATTATATACGAACTTCAAAAAATTCCATTTATAACTTATTCTGAAAGTAGCAGCACTGCATGAATATGGATCAGTGTCATCTACAGTTGCATACATATGTCATTAACAAGAAATGAGCACATAAATCCCCGTATTATATTGTAATTGAAAAATATAGAGAAGAAAGAAATACATTTTTCAATACTGTGCCCCAGAAAGAAAAATTGGAACGTTGAAAAAGTGTTCGGATGCCGTCGTCTGCTTCGCTATTATACATGCAGGTAAAATTAGATTTCTCTTAGTTCAGCTCGCTCCAGGGGGTAAAGCTAACTTTTTCCACGGAAGATATTCCAAATTATTTTTCATCTATTTCTACTCATGCTGTCTTTCTTGTGTATCTTCAGAGAAATGACAACGAAGTAAAGACGATATGTGGGTCTCAGAGCTAGAGGAAGCAGAAATGAAACAGGATATTTCCAGGGAATCCGATCAAGTTGCGGTTTGAAACGCATACTTCTAAAAGAATTTCTCCTGTGTAGATGATGACAAAGAGTTTTAAAATAACCCCTTTCGAATAATTGCCAAGTATACCTTCAGAATTTTTAAAGAATAGAATACCTTTCTAGCTGTTTATATATATAATCATCTTTTGGCTACGCACAGGGCTATTTTAATTAGTGGAACATTGAATTTCATTTCCTGGAAATATTTTCTTGAAGGAGAAACGGAATATTGTACAAAAATGTTTTTTTTTCTCAGACGTCAGACCAAAATTTCACTCTGAGAGATCCAATATAAATTGTACATAAAAAAATCTGCCATTATAAATGTGTCAGTAAAACCAGCATTCGATAGGTATGAGGGTCTATACACATTAACGGATTTTTAATAAAAACCAATTTTTTTATTGGTCCCGGCGGTTTCCTATAGGTGTAATGTTATAAAAATCTCTTTACAACAAAGTCATTCCAGGCTGGAATCTCATTATAACGAATTTTTGTTCATCATTCTGTGTAAATAAGAGAATAGGGCTTGATTGTTATGTATAACTGGAAACCAAAAAAATAAAAGGTGCAGCATTCAAACTTCATAAAAAAATGCTGCCAAGAAATCTTCCTGTTCAAAAAAATATTCAACATGATGCATTTCTTGGAAATTCAGTAGCTCCATTCTAGATTATATGCCTTTCTTCTCAATATACTGTATGTTTGAAATAATTTTCCTCTATCTGCAGAAACATGCATGAATGAAAAAGTTTATTCAGAAGGAAGCATTCATCTTACATGTACAGTACTTTTGTCCATTGTATATTTTGAAACAATTATATGTCACTTTTCAGTAGGATGGCAGGTTCAGCAGAAGGAAATCACCATTTATTTCAAGTTTTCTTTTCATTTCATCAGAAATGTGGGGTCGCGTTCACGCGGCAACCCGAGCGTAGCATCCTTGCTCGGGTATACCGCACAGCAACTCCTACACGCCAACCCGGAAGCGGATAGGGCACCAGGTTTACCGCATTGCAGTAAACCGGGTCAAGAACAAAGATAATCATTTCCGGCAGCAAACGCCGGCTCCCGAAGCCTTCGGGGCTTCGGGAAGGAGAACATTACATCTCTAGAGCTGCGACTGAGAGCGTGAGGATTTACCTGACTGTGAATTCCTACTTGCGTCCTAGCGCGATTGTTTGTACCTCTGGCTACCTTGTATCCTTCTGTGGTTTGTGCGTGTTTGGATAAAGCTTATTCTAAAGGGACTCTGCTAAAGAGGATCCGGCCGTTAAAGGCTGAGTGACTGCGTTTATTCTTTCTCTCTATTTTATTTGTCATCAATCGGCCTGACAAGAAATACTCATATTTATGATATAATTATTAAATCATTTGTCTTGGAAGCACTTGAATGTATTTATTGCCACTTTCCTACAAAATGTCAGTCTAAAATGTGTTAGAAATCATATTACATAAAATTGTTTGTTATGACAAATTTTTTACCAAGTTCCTGGGAGTTTGTTTTAACAAGATTTTACTGTACAAATAATATAATATGCCACATTTTCTAAATTATCTTACATGCTGTTTTTTCTTTGAATGTGAAATTTAAAGTCAAGTAAGAGGAACTTATTTGTTCCTCGCAGTTTGGAACAATGAACAGACCGAAAGCCCATAGCAAAAATATTTCGAAATGCGCGCTGAGTTCTGCGTTATTTTTATACAAAATATATCTTCAAGATTATTTTTGGAAATTATCAGAAATAATTGTTGAACATGAAGTCAAGAATTCCAACCAAAAATAGTCGAAAGATAAAAAAGTGCTATCCTTCCAGAAGAACCGAGGTAATCATTCAATAGATGGAATAAAATCTCGTCGAAACGAAGACATTGGGACCAATAATATATACAGCTTTGCCCTAAAATACACATTTGACATTTTGGCTTTTGGGTATAAGGGACCTAAAAATGGACTTTGCTGTAAGCGATTATTATACGTCAAAATGAGATCTTTTGAAACAAGATTCCACCGTGCGCATATATTCAATTTTGGCAGTGCAACAGCAGAAGGAATGTTCATATATGAGAACTGCTTCGCAAATCAAGTTGGAGCAAGTAAAAAATAATCCCCCAAAAAGGATCCAAGATTTTTTTTTAAATTGCAGTGAGACACCGAAATTCAGACACCCCGATTCGTACGGACGACTTGACTTGGGGACACTTTAAAATTAAAAAAAAACATACCCATCATTCGGACAACATCTCGACATATGGACACTTTTCAGCATTTCTAGAAAAATTTTGAATTTCATTGAGATTTATATCCGAGTGGAAAAATGAAGGCGTGGAGAACAAGCGTTGTATATTATACCCATCATCTGAACTAAAGCCAGTGCGAGGATTCCGATGCTATATGGTGGGATTTTGACTGCCGAACATTTGTGCTGGGACCACCAAGGTACAAAATGCAGTACGGTATTTGGGGAAAGGTATAGGGGAGCTTTTCGTCTTCGTGCCAAACGGCAATTGATGCTCAGGTGTCGTAGGAGCAAGATTATTCGTTTGCTAATTTTGCGGGAATCCGCTGAGTATGTTGGTGTGCTTCTTGTAATTTTAGTTCACCCTGCTGAACTCAATTGTTATGTTTGTAATAGCAAAATATTAGTGCGCCACAACAGCCTAGAAAAAAATTCAAAGCAGAAATTATTGACACAATAAGTCTAAAAAAACTACTTGTGTGCTTTTCTTGCTCATCGAAAAGTGATTGTTGAAAGATAAAACGTAGCTTTGTGGGTTTTGAAGATATTCTGGTAAAATTAATCTTATATTACCAAAATTGATTTGAATCTTCAAATTTTATTATCCTTTCAAAAGCAAACCTTGGGAATATGACAACATTATCTTGTATAATTCCCTGCCATAGATATTTTAGCAGCCAGGCCAGCAGACATTTAAAACAAACAGAATAAAACCATCGTGAATAAAGTATTTTGTTGGAGATACTGTTGACTCATAGATGTTGAAAAACATATTGAGTATATTCGGTTGAATTATTGCATAGCACTAAAATAAAGTTTCCAAAGGACTGTATTGAATTATGAAATTTTGAACAGAAATTGATTTGTTTTAAAAGGAGGTGAGAGACTTGATTGGGCAAATGAACCCTGCCACGAAGTTTAGGATGCTTTCAACTCATTTAAGAAGTAATTTCAGCCTCAGAGTATCATAATTTACAATTTTGAGCAATTTTTCTAAGTTTCCCAGGACAAAAAGGGATTTTTAATGTACCTCAATTCAAAACCTCC